TTTCTACCCTTGCTTTACTTAAAAGGGTTGTAGATTAGAGCAGTTTCCCAACTAAGTGTGGACTTCAACTCCCAGAGTTCCCCAACCAGGAATTCTGGGAGTTGAAGTCCACACATCTTAAAGTTGTTACAAGGTTGAGAAATGCTAGATTGGAGGAACAGGACAGGACAGAAATGCTTCTGATAATAAAACATGGATGGATTTATCCAGCCCTAAGCAGCCTAAGAGCTGGACAGTCAGAATTGCTGCAATTTCTTAGAGGATTGAAAATAGTTTGACTATTTATCTCTCATGCAATCAAGACTGAGCATGCCAGATTTCCATGCTCCAGAGAGGGATAAAAGAAATATAGCTAAATGGCCTGGGATAAAAACTCTCAGAAGTTTTCCAAACATGATCAGATAGGCACAGGTACAATAATACACACATGTTCTTCTAACCAAAATAATACCTGCCAAAACTGAAGCTCTGTTGTTAGGCACCAATTTACATTTTAAAAGTCAACAATGCAAACCCTGAACTGGGGAATCAATTAGAAGATGGGAAGAATTTGCTTTACAGGCATATTTCAATTCAGGCCACACATTTAGTTTGATGTCCACTCTCCCCTTAAGAAAACGGTCTTACACAAAGCCAAAATTACTGGGGTTTGGAGTGTTTCCAAGCTGTCCCCAGAGATGTCGGAACCAGGAGCAAGACCCTGAGCAGGGTCACCGTCTTCCTTAACATATAGGCACCCTGTCTTCCAGCAAAGAAATGGCTGGTGGCTTTCAGTACCAGGAAACCAATGTCAAACTGAGTTTGAAATTGGAAGGCAGAGGATCGGAAGCATTTGGCAATGTCTTCAGAGTGCAAAGTCCCACCTTCAGAGGAGAGAGAATCTGTGCTCCGTTCAGAAATGCTTGGAGACCTTGTCAATTCATACTGTCCCTTTTCAGCCCTCTGCCCATTTACACCCAGGTGGTCTTTCCTCTCTGTCCCAGGGCTGACCTGCACAGGGGATTAACGGACTCCCCGGGTCACTATAAGGGTCATGGACAGAACGAGCCCAGCAGGCCGATTTGCAAGGAGGTGCTCCTGGGTCTGTCTCTGCTAATAGGTAAAAAGTGAATCCTTGCAAATCAACCTGCTACAGAAATCTTTCCTGTAAGAGAGGAACTTGGGAACGTGCAAATCGAGCAGCGTTTCCCATTCAGGACAGTGGAATAAGCTTACCTCTATTTCCTTCAGATTTTACTCTGGAAGTCTAAAGAAGGTGAATTTAATCACGTTCAAAATATGAAAACCGGCCTTGGAATAGCAAGTGTTTCCCTTTGCTGAGGTAACAGTACACCATAAATTAATACTACAGCATTGCATAACCAGAAAAGGTATTTGAGGGTGGGGGGTAGCGGCAACAGCTGCTCTACCTGGGAGAGCCAACCGGCCACCCCAGGGATCGATATTCCGATATTCCATCAATCCCAGGTGCACAACAGGCTTTTTGGAGAGACCCCAACCAGCTGAAAAACACAAGCTTGAACCTCTCTCCATCTGCAGCATTTGCAGCCTCAGGAGGGAGAACTTTTTTCTCATCGAGGACACGTGTCCCGGCCGGGCTAATGTCGCAAGATCCAATCTGGGTCGGTCACCAGGTACCAGGCAGGGTGGCCTCTTCTGGTCCTGGTGACCCACCCAGATTGGATCTTGCAACCACTTTTATTCTTCCCCTCAGAAGCCCACAAAGGAGGCAGGCAGGGACACCCCCTCCCCTCCCCCACCGCCTCAGCAGCCGCCTCAGCAGCTTAGCTGAAAGGCTGAAATTTGGGAGGTCAAAGCGAGAAAAATCCAGTTCTTTCTCCAGCCTTGCAAAACCACAAGAATCCCCCGATTATCCCGCCCGGCCTTGCAGGGGGACGATAAGGGAGACGCCGCTTCCACCCCCCCTCCGGCCTCCGTCGGCGGTCCTCCTCCGTGGCAGGCCCTCCTTTTGTGAGGCTGGGCGCCGGGCAGACCCCGGGGACGCTCCCGGCCTCGGCCAGGCTCTGCGCGCTGCGCCTCTCCCGGCCGGGGCATTCCTGAGGCGGGAAACGGGGTTGAGGCCGCCCCCTCAGCCCACGGGGACCCCGCCGTCCTGCTGGCCGCGGCCTTTCGGGGAGGGGTCCCCGGGGTCTGGGCCGAGCCGTCCCCGCTTCCCCGCGGCCCCTGCGGCAGAGCAGGCCGCGGCGGCGCCCTCTGCCCGGCCAGGCTCCTCCCGGCCGGCCTTGAAGGGCAGCGGCCTCTCCGGCCGGCTACGCAGCGCAGCCCGGAGACCCCCGCCCGCCCTGCGACCCCCCTCCCCCTCCCCCCTCCCGCACCCACCTGCCCAGCGGGGGCCGCGCTCCGGGGCCCGCCCCGCCCGCCCTGCGCCCGCCCGACGGGCCCCCCCCCGCGGCCGGAGGGGCCGGGGCGGCCGCCGGGCTCGGGGCCGGGGCGGGGGGCGTCTGCGGCGGCGTGGCGGCGGCCGGGGGCTGCGGCGGGGCCGGGGGCGGCGAGGGCTGCGGCGACGGCTTCAGCGCCATGGCGAGGCCCGCGGAGGGATCCGGCCGCGGGGCGGAGCGGAGGTGGCGGCGGCGGCTCCCCCGGGCGGGACGGCTGCCTGCCCGCCCGCCCGCCTGGCTCTCTCGCTCGGCTCGGCTCGGCTCGGCTCGCCCGGCCCCGGAACCGCTTCCCTCCTCCTCCTCCTCCGCCGCCGCCGCCGGGCCCGGGCACGCGCGCGCGCTCCCGATCCGCCAACCTCTTTGCGCGCGCACCCCAGCCCAGGCGGAGCGGACGGCCCCTGAGCACGTGCAGAGTGGAGCCTGGAGAAGCCCCCCCTTTCTGCAACGACCCCCCCATTTGGAGAAATGTAGGCAAAGCCCCCCCACCTGCCCGGCTGCTTCCCCTTCCAGGAGCCGGGAAGGCGCCCGCGGGGCGATGGGGCGAAGCGCGGCGGGCGCCCGGTTGCAACGCCGGCGCTGCTCCTTTGCTCTCCGGAGGGTCTCGGAGGGCGGCGGCAGCCCGGGTCCCTCCCGGTCCGCTCCAGTTTGACCGGGGGGGGGCGTTCGTTCCTCAGGGCGGCTCGCTTCAGGGTGGAAGCAACAGACCCCGGTTTAATTCCATCGGCCGAAACCAGCCACCGTTCACACAACAGATTAAGCCGCAAACCCTACACGTGAAATCTCAGCGGCGGGCTGGCTTCCCTTTGCGAGCGGGTTCAACCCAGCCCTGTTCTGAACTCGGCCGACCTCTGGATCTGCGGTTTTCATACTGGGGGGGGGACTTTATTAATGAATTAGACTGTTTAATAAAACCGGATTGGTGGCAGCAATAGAAGGCGAGATGCAGATCGCCCAATTCCACACACGGGGATGCGAAGCAACCAACTGAAAATTGGGTTCAGAAGACACAAATGGTTTAGCGATGCCAAGAATATGTATTTTTTTTTCTCAGAGATTGGAGGGACAAATCTCTTACCCCTCAAATCTGCAAAGATCCTTGGGAAATGGATGTTGCAAATCGAAAAACCAAATGTGTGAATTACGTATATAATAATGTATACAGTAAGAATACTATGTATTAATAGATGTTTGCTTAATTAGTTGTAAGAAAGCTGAGTTTGCTTCCTGTTTAGTTGGAAGCTAGCTGGAGAAAGGGAGGAACTGATTAAATACCCAGAGAGGTGACATCTTTGTTGTGACACACACAAAAAGAGAAGAGCAATCTTGTGATTCTCCAGAATTCATTCCCAAACCTGCAGCTCAGCAAAAGAGGGGCTGCAAACTCAACTGGATTAAGATGAAGATTTTGAAGGAACCCCGGCAAGGAAAGACCATCAGTCCGGTGGCCGAACAGATTGGCATGAAACAAATTACAATTTATACCCTGCTGTTCAAAGATAAAGCTTTCTTGAAAAAAAAAATCAAATTGATCGATAGGAGAAGAGGGTTGCAAGGGGGCTCTGCCCATTAGTCGCCCAATGGAGCAAAGAAGACAGATTCATCTGGGGGGGGGCATACAGAGGATGGGCTTGACCCACCTGTAGAGAGCCACAGCCCCCCCCCCATTATTTATGGCCCTTTGAAGAATGAAAGGACTATTTTGCAACTCCTTGGTATCTTGATTGGTCTAGAGGGGTCTCCGAGCGTGGCAACTTTTAAGACTTGTGGACTTCAACTCCCAGAATCCCCCAGCCAGCATGTCTTAAAAGTGGGCAAGTTTGAGGACCCCTGTTCTATTTCCTTCAAGAGCAGAATGGGACCTGAGGATCTTCTGACCCCAGCAGAAGAGGCGATGGACCATTGCACCCTGTGCCCACTTGATCAACTGGCGAAGAGTGCCCGGGGTGCCCAACAGGGAAAGCTGGCCCTGCTACTTCCTCTCCACCACCACAAAGACCTGGGCCATGGATGGAACAGCTGCTGGGCTTCAATATGCCCTTTGTCCGATGGCCTCTTTGGCATCCATTGTCTGCAGACGGGCCCTCTTCCCTCACAAAAGTCGCTTTATCAGTAGAGTCAGCAAGGAGAATCCGTCAGAGGAGCTTAACTGATCCCTGTGCACGGGGGGGGGGGGGAGATCCGATGATTCAGGAACCCCTTACAAATGAGAAGGGATCCTATAAGATAGCAGCTGCAAACACACCATTGAACCCTACTCTCTTCTTGGACTCTTTTCTGGGGTTAATAGTTAAAAGGAGAGCTTTTTCTTACCAGAAATTCTTCTTTTCTGGTTTTGCTTTTGAGAAAAAAAAAGGTCCTTTTCTTCAGAAGCCAGACTTAGAAAGGAATTGTGTTAAGGAGAGACAGGTAAAGTGAAGAACCGATTAGCTGTAGGTCTCAGTACTGTATATAAACTACAGTTTCTGTAGTTCTGTAGCTTGTTACGCAGACTCAGCCATAAACTATAATTGGGCCAATCATAGTTTCGTGTACTCGTCAACTTTGTGATTGACTGCTGCATCCTCACAACTAAATACGCATATTTTGCACAAATATCACAGGTTGATTTTTATCCGGTTTAATATACTCTCATTGCTGATGTTACAATCCAGATATTTTTTTTTTTGAAAGTAGACATTGATGGGTGTTTTGCATGCCAGTCAAGCTGCATGCTACCCCTGAATAAGACAGGCTGTTCTCAGCTAAGCCCGTCGGAGGGTTTTTCATTGCTCTACCTTGATACATAAGTGGCGTTTTCCAGTTACAAACAGGACCGAAAACGCCTCTAAAAACTGCTTGATCAGTTAGGAGAGCAGCCTCTCAGCCCCCCCCCCAATGCTTGACTAATGACAAATTTGCTAATAAAAATGTACTTTTGAAGTTACTCTGTTCTTTGCAACCAGCTCCTGTTAATTCTGAACTCATCCCCTCTTCCTTTCTTGTTCTCTGTCAGAATCCGCTTCCCCGTGCCCGACGGCGTGGCCACGCGCTCACTTCCTTCTCATGGATGAGGAAGCAAAACCGTACACAGCAATAATCAAGGCAATGCAAAAGAAGAAAAAAAATCCCAGGATCCTTTAAAAAAAAATAACCTCAGTAAGTGCTGTGTGGCGGAAGTCATGGCTCTTATATTCTCTGAGATAGCCCTGTGCAGTTTGAATTTTAAAATGCACTTGTTCCATGCTTTCATTTTAGGAAAAACATGACCTAAAGAGGCTCAGAAACTAGGGAGTGGGAAGATCAATGAGCTGCATGTTGGTGTCGCGCGTGCGCGCACGTACACACACACACAGTTCCTCCTCATGGCATAGCCTCTCCCCCCCCCCACCTGACTTCAGGGAAAGACTGCTGGGGCCACAATAGCTCAGAATTAGGGGTGTGCAGACCCTGCACTTTTGTGAAGGCTCAGGGTGCTTTGTTGCAAGCAACTTGGTTGGCTTACTGTGGCCAAAACTCAGGATCCCGACTGGCTGCTGGCAAAGCAGCCGAGGTTCTTATAAGCCAAGAACAAGCCCTGGATTTTGCCTCTGGCTTATAAAAGGAAAACCACCACCCAGGATCTTGGCCTTTGACCAGATGCCAAGCAAACCATTTCCCTCTATGTAGAGGCTGGGATGAAGGCAAACCTTGAACCCAGAGCCTTGTGAAGCTGGCTTGATCGCTGCCAGAATCTTCGGCCGCCAAACCCAGGTGTCTGCTAGGCCCCGACTGCAGAAAGTAAGCAAGATTCCTTACGGAGGCGCCACGTCACTTGGGGGCCTCCAAACTAATCAATAACTTACTACCTCTCTTACACACTAAAGAAACAAACCCCACTTCCACGAAAAGTGTGACTACCGGCTCTTTGCGCTGAAGGACCAACGTGCCTTGCGAGCTACTGTGCAAACTAAGCTTTCTTAAAACTCTGCAGGTGTTTAGCTGGTTCTGTATCTAATGCTTGCTGCGAAGTTTAACGGGTTACGCAGAATGCGGGATGCCTGCACGGAAGGGGGCAGAACCAACACCCCAGTGCCCATTTCCTCCTTTTCAGAAAAGGGAGCTTGGGGCAGAGACTTGGGGGTGGGGCAGGAGGAGGAGAGCAGCTTTCCAAGGGCCCGACTGCAGCAGAATGCCACGCCTGGAGTCCTGCCATGGACATGCATGGGACTGAGTGGAAACTCCGAAGTAGGAGCAAGGCAAATGTGCACAAACACACTTCACTATAAATCTGCCCCCTAAATGGCAAAAGGAGATGGGACAGGACCCCACAAAATGCACGGCCAGGGATCCACCATGGCAGGAGGAAAGAGTTAGCTGCAAGGAAAGGGGAGGAAAAGGGGAGGCAGGAAGGCAGGGAGGGAGGGTGAGAGACCCCATAAGGACAAACAGCGTATCAAGAAAGGGGGGCACATTTCCCCAATCAAAGGACTTTTGCCCTGATATTCTCCAGCACCTTTTCAGGTTTCCATCTGAGCTGAGCCTGCCTCTCCCCAAGGCCACTAACTGCCCCCCCTCCTCATCCTGGGGAGGGAAGCCTACATTCAGGTATAACTTTCAGCCTCCATTGGATGTCAAGTGGCAGCAGCAGCAGCAGCAGCAGCCTTGCCTGCTGCTTCCAAAATAAAACCTACGGCTCGGCCAGTATTTTGGTTTCCACGCTCGTTTTCAAAGAGGGCGTTCCCAAGGAAGCAGAAGGGGGGGGGAGGGAAGGGAAGCCCGGCAGCTGGTTTGGAGATCACTACGGAGAGCCTACGGCAAGCTAGCTAGCAGAGGAAAAGACGCCTTCACGGCCATCGCTGGCCAAGGGTTTAGCGCAAAGGACCCAGAAACTGGACACTCATCCCTGGCTAGGTTTTCCAGCCCATTTTTGCCAAAACAGACAACTCTCGTTTTGCCCTCCGGACACCCTTCCTGTGCCCAAGAGCAGTCACCTCCGTTGCTCCAGCGTCGTTCGGTCACTTGCCCCTTTTGCTTCTTCCCTTGCGGGAGGGGGGCTTCCCGCTGCCCCCCGCGGAGGAACCCGCCGAAGAGGCCATGGGGATGTTGATCTGCCCGTCCTGGATCTCCTGTCTGGCCTCCGCCGGCAGGTGGTTGATCTTCTGCTGGGCCTCCAGGTAGAACATGACGTCCCGGAGCTGCTCCTGGATCTCGGTGATCTGGAGGTCCTTCTGCTCACAGGTCTCCTTCAGGAGCTTCTCCTCGTCCCGCAGCTTGTTCTGGAGCAGGAGCTGGTTGGCCCGCAGGCATTTGTTCATCTCCTGCTCTTCCTTCAGCTCGCTGGTCAGCTTGGACAGCTTGGTATTTAGCTGGGTGCATCTGGAAGGGGCGGGGAAAAGGGAAACTGAGGCGGCGGCAGCGAAAAGCTTTTACTGAGATATAAGAGGAGCAGGAATTTCCGTCTGTCTTGCCAATACACAGCCTCTCTAAAGTCTAGCCACCCCGTGCACTGGGAACTTTTCCACCCTCCAGGGCTTAATGGTGGTAACCCTCAATTTTTGACAGGTTAGAAGTTGCAGCTGATCCCAAAAAGCTGAATTATGACTCTGAATTCTGATAGTTGCACCCCCCTCCCTAAAATTCATATGACCAGAAGTCAAGCGCAAGGCAATCTGGTTTCATTTACGGCGGTTTGAAGCCTTCTGCGATGAAGTGAGGGCATTTCACGAGGGTTTTGCCCAAAGCTGGCACTTCCACAACTGCGGCATTTGCTTACTGGCTGTTGCAAAAACAAACCCCGGGTCACGTCATTGGCCTGTTTTGTGACGTTAATGGGCAGGCTTCGTTATAGTTGAGGACTACTGTATGTTGCTCCTAAGGAAGCTAATTCCTGACTAAGAGGAAAACCTGCTGATCCACGGGTGGATTAGAGTCAAAATCACAGACAAGATGCATTTTGCACCCAGATCCACTACTAAGTTCTGAAAGTTACCCACTTCCTCTCGAGCGACTGCTTCTCCTTCAGTAAGTCATTCAGTTTGTGTTCAAGCGAGTCGCATTTCTCAATGGTCTCTTTAAATTTTGTCTTCATGTTGTTGATCTGTAAATAATTTTAAAAAAAGGTATTTTAAGGTCCAGATGGGCACTCTTGCATGGCTCAGAATCTGATTCAGGGTCACCAGGGCGACTGCTCGCCATTCTTCTCTGGAGGTTTTCTGGGTTAGCAGTCATTGCCAAGGGAAATGTTATACTTTGGGTTGGGAAACAAACATCTTGTTTGCTGATTCCTTGGAAAAATATTCCTGGAGCTCCCTTTGAAAAGGATGGACTCTGCTTTGGAAGAGGAAACTCAGACTGAACAGAGAGAAGAGGCCCGCCCAGGAAGTGGCTTCCTTAGCCCAGCACAGCTACCTCCAAGCTCTTGGGCCCTTCACAAGGGGCTTCTTGGCTGGACAGAGACCCCAGGAGCAAAGGGGGAGACTGGAATCTGGGATGCATTCAAAAACGGAAGGAGCCAAACCTGGTTCCTGCTGTCCACAGGAATTAAAGCATTCAGAAGGAACTTACTTCTTCGGCTGTGTCCTTTTCTATTCGGACGATCTTGTTCTCCCAGTAGATGCGCTGGGACTCCAACTGGCTGGTTAGCAAGTAGGAATACTGAGTTCAGAGAAAGAGAAAAAATGGACAAGCCGTCCTTACTTTCTCTAGAGGAGAGCTGGAATCTCATGCCAGAGCTCTCCAATCTCCAAGTTACATTCAAGACAGACATCCCTAGACTATGAAAAAGGTTCGATGGAGCCTCCATCAAGTTAGCTATGAAAATCTCCACAAACCTAGGAAGAGCAATAGGTACACTTACTTCTAACTGTAAGGCATCGATTTTCTCTTCTTGACACACATCCCCCTCACATTCGTACTGAACCAGCTTCCCGTCTGTTTTGCTGGCCACCAGACGGTGGACGTAATTGTCTAGGGAAAAGAAAAACCACCAACTGGTCATCCTGAGGCAAAGTTCCAAATCAAGGTCCAAGTCAAAGCCGCTCAGGTGCTACCTCCAACTACACCCGCCTTCAGGTGTGTGTTAAGGGAGAAGATTCACCTGGCTGAGAACTTGGAAAGGGCGCTCATAGCTCCTTTCCAGATCCGTGAGGTAAAGAGACGGTCTTGGTCACCTTTAACTTCTCCCCACCCAAAGACTGCAAGATTTGCTCTCTCCCAAAAATGGAGCCAACTTTGTTTATAGCAAACCAGAAGGACCAACTGTCTCCCTCTCTTGTTAAGGAGGTGGTCCGTTCTGAGGTGTGGCTCAGCGGTCTATGGAATAGGGCTTACCACCGGCGTAGTCCCAGACCCTGTGATTGGTCAGCTGCATGGCGTAGGTGTGTTGTGTCTCCTCAAAGTGCTTGTACGCGTGCCGGCTCACGTAACGCCCGCATCCAATGTGCCCACAGATGAGACATATCCAAAGGTTCTGCACAACAGAAGGAGCAACACAACTGATGTCCAGGGCAGAAAAGAAGAAACACCCAGATCCCATTTCTGAAGAAGCAACACTGCTGATTTCTGAACAGACATGGACCCAGACTCACTCACTTCTTGGACTCCACATTCAAAACACTTGTTTTCTTCCACAGGCTCTGGAGTCTGGCAGTACCTGCAGACGGGGCAGCTGGAGAAGGGAGACAAGAGAAGGCCCTGAGGATTCCAAACCAGGTCACCCGGCTCTGACCTTCTGGATCCCTATTGCCCCTGCTCGGAGCCACCTTTCCTCCCCCGTCAGGCTCTTACGTGGTGTCCTCCCACCGCTGCAGACACTGACTATGGAAGCTGTGGTTGCAGACCGTGGTCAGGATCCCGTTGACCGATTCATCCATCCTCTCCAAGCAGACGGTGCATTTGGGGAGCTCGGTCAGATCCATGACGGGGAGGCTGGCCCCCTGCAAGAGGAGGAGACACCTGACCTCAGTGTTTCCCTGGCCATTTGAAGGTATATGGACTTCAACTCCCAGAATTCCCCAGCCAGCAATGAACAGCGACTGGAATCTTCTGCAAGCTGATCTGCCAGGCAGCCTAGGACACCACCAGGCTTCCTCCGGAGTACCAGAAAGGGCTGCGGGGCCTTATCATTGCATTATCCCCACCATCACTCCCCCAATCTGCAGGGCTGCATCTTGCACTGGAAGACTGCTAGCCGGGGAGAGACCCCACCCCCTAGAAAGGAAAGGGAGAACAAGAGACCACTCACATCTTCTGACTTGAAGACCTCTGCCCTTTCCACATAGACGAGCTGGCAAACGTCCTCTTCTATGGAGTTAAACTGCCGACCGTTGCAAGCCATATAAAAGCTATCCGCATCTGCCTGCATAGAAGCCAGAGGAGAGCAGTTTGGAGGGGCACCAATTGTTGCAATGCATCAGAGGCCCGCTTCCCCCAACCATCCACCCCCTCCTCAAAAAATAAACCATGTAAGAAGAGCAGTTCCCAGGCCACTGGCACTCACTCACAAAGCCCCCGCCTCTCTCAGATTCTGGACTTTCTAGTCCTGCTGCCAATAACTTCCAATTTCCCCCAAGTTGCAAGAGCAGATACGCAGCATACATGTTTCTGGATCAGAACCAGATAGGAGGCGTGGAAGGAGCCTTCAGCCCAAAGCTGGAATCACTCTTTGTTCTTACCTGGGTCCGGAACTTGATGAGGACCATGTACTGGTTCGGGGTGGAATCTCGGATGATTTTCATGTGTTCAATGACATCATAAAAAGGAGCCACAAACTTCATGAGGTCGTGGCTGGTCATTGTGGCAGGGACCGTGAGAATACACAGCATGGCGCTACGCCGCACTTCTTCTTTTAATGAGGTCATTTTGCTGCCCAAGGGAAGAATTAGACCAGTCAGCAAGTCCATCCTTTTTGTTTCGACTCTCTAATGCAGTGTTTGCCAATTTTAACTAATTTAGGATGTCTGGACTTCAACTCCCAGAGTTCCCCTTCAGCCACAGCCCTTCCTTCTCAAAGGAAAAGGAATTTCATAGTAAGGGCAGCTTTCCAGATCCTTTAAAGCAGGGCTCTCCAAAGTTGGCAACTTTTAAGACTTGTGAACTTCAACTCCCAGAATTCCCCAGAGTTAAAGTTCACAAGTCTTAAAGTTGCCAACTTTGAAGACTCCTGCCTTAAAGCATTTAGTGTGAGTCCTGCTTTCTTACTTTGTCTTGTAGAGGTGCATAATGCCATGAGCTATTTCAACAGAAGGATTTCCACTGAAAAAGGAAATCTGGTCAGGGAGCTGCTTTGACGGAGAATCCGGTGTAGTCCCAATGCTTCCACTCTGGCCGTCCTGATTATTGGGATCCTCAGGGGAGGAAGCTTCCGCTGCACCAGCTTTTTCCATCATCGATTTCACCTCACCTTTTTCATAAATCCAAAAACAGGCAAGTTAGAAATCTGACACTTTCCAAACTGCAATCCATATTTAATTTAAAATCTTTTCTCATTAAGGGGTAAGGCACTACCTTGGGGCAATGGGTAGAAGAATGGCAGAAAAATTCTTAGAAATGTTTTATCAGTATATAAACAGCCCCTTAACATTTTGAATCCAAAACAGCTGCTCGGAAGATCAGCTCCGATTTCTGAGTGATGCTGTATGAGAAGACCAAACCTTGCCAGTAACAATACAGAGTGAGGTATAATTTCTGATCATTGATTCCTATGGTCATACAAAATTAATAAGCAGACTTCAAGAACCGCTTGAAATGGTGTCTTGCAAACAAGCTCACAAAAAGTTGCTTGAGACTGAATCTGTTCAACCACCTGACTGCCCACTTGGTTCTGGAAAAAAAACGATCCTCACATTTCTTGCTTAAACAGCTGGATGCCAAGCTGGCCTCAGAAGGCAGGTTATGTCAGCCCTTCAGCTGCTGCTTATTAAGCAGGGAGGATGGATGGGTGGGTGGACAGACATACACACACATATATAAATATACACCATGAAATAAACATAATTCCAATCAAATAGTACTTATGCCAACCACCCTCTACACTCTAGAGAAATGCATCGTTCCGCTTGGCATCGGGGCACAAAGCAACACGTCACAGGTACCTGGATCCGGCTTTATCGTCTCAATGATCACGTCTGTCATCTCCCGCCGGCCGATGTGTTGGTGGATTATGGCCGCCCTCTCCATGGGCGCCTTGCCCTCCAAGCTCACCGAAGCGGCCGCCAGCGACGTCTCCTGAATGGCCTCATTAGACATCTCAGTAGCTGAGAAGCAGGATTGATGTGGCTATTAAAAGAGTTTCCGCACAACACAACCTGGCCAAACCAGACCAGCTAAAGCCGAGCTAGTTAGGCCACAGGCTGTTTGGACACCTCCCTTCCTCCCCCACTTCCACCTTCGTCCTTTGGCCTATAAAAGGGCTGAGAGCCGAGTTTGCCAGATATGTGTATGTCTGTCTGTGTCTCTGTGTGTGTATAGACACACACGCATACATAAAGAGGGCCAGACAAACCTTGCTCTAAAATTTCTGAGTTGAAATCCGCCCACCTTAACGATTTAGAGTCTAAGTTGTTAAGGGGGTGGACTTCAACTCCAAGAATTTCCCAGCCAGCTTGGGAACGTTAAGGCGGGTGGACTCCAATTCCCAGTTGTGCTGGCTGGGGGATTCTGGGAACTGAAGTCCACCCCTCTTAAAGTTCCCCAGCTTGAAAAACGCTGATTTACCCGGCCCAGACCCTCTGGCAGTCCCCCCGTCCGCTCTCCTGCCCCCTTTAGCCCCCTTCCCTGTCCCCACCTCCCCCCCCCAGCCTCCCTTCGGCCGCCCCGAGGCCCCCCGGCCCTCACTGGCACCGCAGTAGGAGAAGCCGCCCGGCACGGGCGAAGACTCGGCCAGCTCCAAGCGAAGGACCACCAGGGAGACGCTCATAGGGCCGCCCCGCGGAGGGTGCCGGGCCTGCGGGGCCGCAGCTCGGGCGGGAGGGAAACGGGGCAAGCGACCCCTCCGCCACCTCGGACTGCCGAGCGCTTCCGCCTCTCCTCTCTCGTGACCTTTGATACGGGGCCGGAGGGCGGCGCGCAGGCGCCGTGGGCCGCAGGAGGCGCGGCCGTGAGGTCACGCGAGGGGGGCGTGGTCGTGGCTGACGACGCCTCCTCTTCCGAACCCGGAAGGGCTCCTCTCGTCCGCCGTGGACGCGCTTCGGGTCAAAGGTTTTCCCGGACGGGGAGTGGGTGGGAGTGGAGCATGGGACGTCTTGGCTGTGGATGATGGGCGGTGTAGTCGCCCCAAACACGATGTCCTTTGCTTTAAAGAGCCCTGATTGACTCTGGAGGAGGAGGAGGAGGAGGAGGAACCTCCCAGGGGAGAGGTAGAAGAGGTGGCTGGCTGGGGACAATGGGAGTTGGAGTCCAGCGCCTCGGTCGGGGGCTAGGAAGGCTGAGGTCGGGCGGGGAAGCCCTTCCTGGGGGTCGACAGGCCGGAGATGCCAATCGGGATCTGCCTCCAGGTTCCCCCTGTGTTCTGGGGTGACCCCTGATTTTCTGACGCTGTTTTGAGATGCTACTATAACAGTATTTCTCGGCCTTGGCCACTTAGAGGTGAGTGGACTTCAACTTCCAAAATTCCCCGATCAGCCACCACTGGCAAGGGACCTCTGGGGGTTGACGTCCACATCTTCAAGTGGCCCATAAGAAGCGATGGGATTTTTTAACAAATCCAGACAATTAAAAAAATATACCCAGTATTACTAAGGTAATATATTCCGTGTCAATATATGCTCCAATGTTCGGCTTTGCACAAGTCTCTGAAGCCCTTCTCTCTCCCTTGACATGCACAGTGCCAGAGCATGGGTTTCGGAAGACTTTTCCAAGCCTTTTACGGCTGCCCTGCGTGGAAATTACAAATCCTTCGGTCTTCCTGGCACAAACACCCAGACGTGGCCCGGTGGAGGAATTACGCATCCTGTCCCTACAAAGCGGTGATCTTTGACATGGGTGGCGTTCTCCTTCCTTCCCCATTCAAACTGGCAATGGGTAGGTGATTTTCCCAGAGTTTATACCATCACCTTCTCTTCCCTCTGCTGGTTCTGTTTGAAATTTCTCTGCTTTCAGCTGTTGAATTTCTCCCACCCTCGAGCAACAGAGAGAATCATTTTGAAACTAAAAATGGTTTCAGTGGTTGAGCACCAGCTCAAACCGTAATTCCTGAACCTTCCTCGGTGTTGGTTTTGCTCCTGTGCTGCTGAATCGCACTACACAGTACATTATTCTTAAATTTTTTGTGTCCTGTGAGATACCTATGGCTTCCTGCCTTTATTTAGATTGGGAGATTCGGAATCGTGTCCCCATCGGCACCATCAAAGAGGCCTTAAGATCCGGGGGTGAGGACAGGCCCTGGATGAGATATATCAGAGGGCAGCTGAAGTGGGCAGAATTTCTGCACGAGTTCAGACAACAGTGTTCCAGGATTGTAAGCCAGTTTTTCCCTTTGATCCCTGTGGGTTGAGTAAGGGAGGTCTCGAGCTGAACATATCTGGAAAGGACAGTCCCATGGATGAACAGTCTCCGTGTTAACGTCCTTTTTCTCAACAAGCCCATTTTGTTTTTCCATAATGCCACGAGTTAGAGTGGATGAGCTCAACCAGAAAAGATCCATCCCTATGTTGGGAATTTAAAACAGTTCATGGCTACCATGCGATCCCAGAAACTATGCTAGTTTTCTTCTAACTAGAAGAAGAAGAAAAAAAACAAAACTGTACAATTGAATTTATAAACTACGTAAGATAATTGCTGTTTACTTGTTCACTGAAAAAAACAACCTATCCAACATGTCTCTTTCCCTCCCCAGGCAAAAGCTTCTGTTCCAGCAGACTCTTTCCTTTTTGAATTAACCAGGCAACAGATGTCAGATCAGCTCCCTGTTATGACCGAGGCCGTGAAGGGCATCAGAGCCAGAGGTCTCAAGACGGCCGTTTTGACCAATAACTTTTATCTAGAGAGTGGAGAGAGTTTTCTGCCTATAGACAGAAAGCAATTTGATTTGGTAAGTTTTTGTGCTCCACAAAACATCCCACTCCTTGGGGCCATTACTTTATTACGATAGTTATAGTTTAGTAATTGTGCTTGCCTAAACTTGCATAGAAGTACGCAGTATTCATGAAGGAAAATTTATTTTTCTCTACATTGCTCATATAATGGAATATCTTAGAAAGATGCAGTATCTTAGCTGTTTGGGCCCCTCAGATCTCCTTGTTCAACCGATGATTACCTAACTGCCTTTACTAAAAGTAATATTTAAAAAAAAATTAATCGGGAGCTTCTGGTTAGCCAAAGTTCTTACTCCATTAATCAACTGGATTAAGGAGTACATTCTGTTATTGCTTGGTTTATATCTTTAAGACCATAAGCCAAACTTTGAAGGAAGAACATAACTCTGAACCCTCAGATGAAATATAAGAAGCCATTTGCTTTTTCGGTACCATTTACTTTATTTCAGAACCCCTTGCCCACTCCCTCCTGCCTGATCACCTGGCTGTTTGGCTTTTGTCTCCCAGATCGTGGAATCTTGTCGGGAAGGGGTGTGTAAACCCGACCCTCGCATTTACCAGCTGTGCTTGCAGCGCCTGGGTGTCCTGGCCAAGGAGTCCGTCTTTCTGGATGACATTGGAGAGAATCTGAAAGCTGCCAGCCAACTTGGCATTAAGACCCTAAAGGTGAAAAAGTGAAGGTTTAAAACTAGTCTTCCCAGAGCTGACCCAACCGCCTTCAGTTAGAGTTTTTCTTGAAACTATTCTCTAGATGTAAATATCTAGCTCTGCGTTTTTGTCATTTGTTCCCAGCAGAGATATTTATGCTTGCTTTATGCTTGGAAACTGTGCTTTAAACACCAAGTTCTTCTAAGCATCTTTACTGCTTCAGCTCCTCAGTTCCTTCCTCTGCTCAGGTCGAGGACGTGAATTCTGCAGTTCAAGAATTGGAGACCTGCCTTGCTTTTCCTTTGCGTGGTGCAATTCCTTACACGTCTTCTGTGAGGCCAGCCATGGAAATCCCCACAGCACCTCTGCAAAAGTATCTTGAAAACCTCTTGGGGGCCCAAGCGAAAGGTACAGCGCTGATATTCCCATTTTGCGTGGGGAGTCTTTGCTTGGAATACTCAGTGGTGCTCCCGTCAGCAGCTCATATAAAAACCCCGTGAGCATTAATGGCAGAAGGGTGCAGATTAGGGCCAGGCTTATCTGGGCTGAAGCCCCATCTCAGCTCGTCATCTGTGGGAGACGAGGGGCCAGTCCCCTTCTCCAGGCTCTCTCAGCTTGCAGAGTTGCAAAGATCAAATGGAGGGAGGGTCTCCTGGGGCTCTCTCATTCACGTGGGCTGTTGCTGTCCTCTTCGCTGTGACTTTGCAGGTTCTTTGGAGCTGCGCCAGTTCAGTCACGGGCAGTCCAATCCGACTTACTACGTTGGATTTGGGGACCATCAGCTGGTTCTAAGGAAGAAGCCGCCGGGCACGCTCTTGCCTTCTGCTCATGCGGTGGAGAGAGAGTACAGGTGAAAAGCTCAGCAATGATAGCAACAAATAGACACCCGGGTTCCCCACTATGTGGAAATGCTAACAAGGAAAGCTCCCAGCCTTGTGGATTGCCGTGTTCGTTGTTAGTTGGCAGTAAGAGGCATCATAAGCCAAGACCTCGCCATGCATATCTATGATTATTATTTTATTTCTTCTTCTTCTTCTTCTTCTTCTTCTTCTTCTTCTTCTTCTTCTTCTTCTTCTTCTTCTTCTTCTTCTTCTTCTTCTTCTTCTTCTTCTTCTTCTTCTTCTTCTTCTTCTTCTTCTTCTTCTTCTTCTTCTTCTTCTTTTTCTTCTCCTCCTCCTCCTCACACAGCACTTCTTCCCCATCTTAATTCGCCTCTCCTTCTGTTGGGTAGGGTTCTGAAGGCCCTCAGGGAGACCGGCGTCCCTGTTCCAAAAGTCCTGGCCTTATGTGAAGATTCAAGGTGAGTTCTGGGTCTTTGCATGTGCTGGAGTTTTCGGGGGCTGAAAACGTCAAGGTCCTCTGCTAATGTCCTGGTGTTGCTCTAGTGTCATCGGCACCCCCTTCTTCCTGATGGAGTACAGCCCCGGCCGGATCTTCAAGGACTATTCTCTTCCAGAGCTTGAGCCCCACCAGCGGATGGAGGTTTATAGTGCCATGAGCAGCGTCCTCTGTAAAATCCACAGTGTGGACATCAAAACTGTTGGTTTGGAGGATTATGGAAAACATGGTATGTAAAGCCCCTCTCTGCTGCTCCCTTGCAGGAACTCTCGTATTTGGGGTTATCTTAAAATAAAATTGGGTCCTCTGATGGAAAGAAAACTGAAAATTAATTTTTGTAGGATCTTCTCAAAGAACGGGATAAGCACATTACTTAACGGAGATAATAATGTTCCAGGAAATTATGCCCAGCGGCAAATCCAGACATGGAGCAAGCAATATCGAGCCACGGAGACCCACACGATCCCAGCCATGGAGAGGCTCCTCAAGTGGTTCCCCTCCCACCTTCCAGCCAGCGAGCAGCTCTCGATTGTTCATGGAGATTTCAGGTATGGGCTCACCTGTCGTGTTTCTACTGGCTTTACAGAAGTCTTTTCAAAAGCAGTAAAGTAGGAAATACTTTTTAAAATAAGGGAATGGAGACTTGGCACCAATTCTCTCTATGCTGCCAGTCCTGAAATATTTGAGAATGTATCCTTTCCAACCCATGAAACTAACCCGCCTTTGGTTCTCAGCTGATGCAGGATCTTTGATTTTCTCTGCAGAATGTGAACCAATTGGAAAGGGGGGGGGCACCCTTTGTCCTCATTCTCAGTCCCCTCCCCCCCAAACAACTGGCTTTGCAGTTCATTAAAGCTAGGGAAGAGAACCTGGACTTCAACCACAGCAGCTCCTAGAAACCTCCAAACCAGAAGAACAGACTTAATTTGGTTTCCTAAAAAAAAAAGAAGGAAACTTCCTCCAAAGCCTGACGTTTTGGGATCCTTCCCCAACTCGTGTGACCTCTGGTCATCAGAAGAGCCTCCACCTGGC